GGCCCGGGCTGGGGATTCAAACCTGCCACCTTAGGTGTATGTGGCTGGCGCCTTAGCCGCTTGAGCCACAGGCGCCGAGCCTAATAAATAGATTTTGTAAAGCTATAGCTGCCATAGCTAGTGATTCCTCTGATGGATATGGGTAGTGTCAATTAGAAACTTTCTGGAAGGGATTTACTATTTGAGATGCCATTAAGAACATTTGTGATTAATAGGAGGAGGTCAAAATATCAACATGAATAGGCATTTGGAAGAAGTTGATTTCCAACCCTCATGGATGACTGAGGGGTTTAAGATGGTAGTAGACGGGGCTGGGCACAGGGGCTCATGCCTGTAATCCTAGTACTCTGGGAAACAGGTAGTGGATCGCTAGAGCTGGGGAGTTGGATACCAGCCTGAACAAGAGTGAGACCCCATCTCTAAAAACATCTTTAGGCCAAGCATTGTAGCAGGTGCCTATAGTCCCAGTTACTGGGCAGGCTGAAGCAAGAGGATCACTTGAGCCCAGGAGTTTGGAGTTGCTGTGAACCTTAAGGCCATGGCAGTCTACTGAGGGTGACAATGTGAGACTCTGTCTCAAAAAATAAATAAATAAATAAACTTTAGTGGTAGAAGTAACTGCAGATGTGGTGGAAATAGCAAGAGAAGTAGAATTAAAAGTGGAACCTGAAGATATGACTGAATTATTGCAATCCTATGATGAAATTTGAATGGATGAGGAGTTGCTTCTTGTGGATGAGCCAAAAAGTGGTTTCCTGAAATAGAATTTACTTCCACTGAAGATGCTTTGGACCTTACCACATGGACACCAAAGGGTTTAAAATATTACATAAACTTAGTCGATAAAGCAGTGGCAATTTTGGAGAGGACTGACTCTAACTTTGAAAGAAATCTGGCCAGCTTCAGTGGCTCATGTCTGTAATTCTATCACTTTGAGAGGTCAAGGTGGGAGGGTTGCTTGAGGCCAGCAGTTGGTGACCAGTTTGAACAAGGGCAAGATCTCATCTCTACAAAAAAGAAAGATTAGCTAGATGTGCTACACCTTTGTAGTCCCAGTTACTTGGGAGTTTGAGGCAGGAAGATCAATTGAGCTCAGGAATTTTAAGTTGCAGTGAACCGTGATGATGTCGCTGCACTTTAGCCTGGGCAATACAGCAAGACTCTGTCACAAAAATAGAAAAAAGAAAAGGAAGTTCTACTGTGGGCAAAATACTGTCAAACAGTATTGCATGCTACGGAGAAATCTTTCATGATTACTTCATGAGCTTTCATGATTACAACAAAGTCAATTGATGTAACCAACTTCATTGTTGTCCTTTTTTCAGAAATTGCCACAGCTACCCCAGCTTTTAGCAACAACCACCTTAATTAGTCAGCAGCCATCAACATTGAGGAAAGACCTTCCACCAGCAAAAGATTACAATTTGTTTGAGGCGCAGATGATTGTTAGCATTTTTTAGCAATAAAATATGTATATTTTTTGAGTCAGAGCCTCAAGCTGTAACGCTGGCTAGAGTGGCATCATAGCTCACAGCAACCTCCAACCTGGACTCAAGCAATCTTCTCACCTCAGTTTTTCTATTTTTAGTAGAGACGGGGTCTCACTTTTGTTCAAGCTGGTCTCAAACTCATGAGCTCAAGCAAACCAGCCACCTTGGCCTCCTAGAGTGCTAGGATTACAGGTGTGAGCCCCCATACCTGGCCATAAAGTATTTTTTGATTAGGGTATGTACATTTTTTAAAGACAATAATGCTATTGCACACTTCATAAAGCACTTTTACAGAATAGTGTGAAAATAACTTTTAGATGCAATAGGAAATCAAAACATTGGTGCGACTCACCTTTTTTGCAATATTTGCTTTATTGTATTGTTCTGGAACCACAGTATCTTTGAAGCATGCCTGTACTTTAATGGCCAGGTTGGGGTGGTCTCCAGAGATGTCCAGACTTTTTCCAATAACAATTAAAGAAAAAAATTTTTTTTTTGAGACAGAGCCTCAAGCTGTCCCCCTGGGCAGAGTGCCGTGGCGTTACAGCTCACAGCAACCTCCAACTCCTGGGCTCAAGCGAGTCTCCTGCCTCCGCCTCCCAAGTAGCTGGGACCACAGGCGCCCGCCACAACGCCCGGCTATTTTTTGGTTGCAGCCATCATTGTTTGGCAGGTCCGGGCTGGGGATTCGAACCCGCCACCTTAGGTGTACGTGGCTGGCGCCTTAGTTGGTTGAGCTATAGGTGCCGAGCCTAAAGAAAATTTTAATCTTTGTATGATATGGGATAAAAGAGTAAGGCAGCCAAGGGTGAGTAGCTGGGCTCTCCAGCCACCCCAGAGGCCGAGACAATGCTATTGCAGCATTCTGAAAACCCTGGAACCTCAATAGTCTGCCTGACAAGCTCTGATCTAAATGGCTTCTGCTATGCATCAAACAAACAAACCTAAAAATGTCTGTGTAGAAAGCTAGCAGTTCATGACCAGCCCCTGAGCTCGATCGATTCTTCTGCCTCAACCTCCCAAGTAACTGGGACTATAAGTGCACACTACCACATCTAGCTAATCTTTCTATTTTTTGTAGAGATGAGGTCTTGCTCTTGCTCAGGCTAGTCATGAACTGTTGGCCTTCCACACAGACATTTTTAGGTTTGTTTGTTTGTTTGAGACAGAGTCTCACTTTGTCACCCTTGGTAGAGAGCTGTGGCATCACAGCTCACAGCAACCTCCAACTCTTGGGTTTAAGTGATTCTCTTGCCTCAGCCTCCCACAATGCCCAGCTATTTTTTGGTTGTAGTTGTCACTGTTGTTTGGCAGGCCTGGGCTGGATTCGAACCTTCCAGCTCCGGTGTATGTGGCTGGTGCCCTAGCCGCTGAGCTATAGGTGCTGAGCCATTAACTTTGTGCTTTTGATGATTTAGGAATATAGTTAAGAGATATATTCACAGAAGAATCAATAGGACTTGGGGGCTGAGTGGTTGTTAGGAAAATAAAGTGGTCACTTTAAAGCTTCTTTTTTTTTTTTTGTAGAGACAGTCTCACTTTGTTGCCCTTGGTAGGGTGCTATGGCATCACACAGTTCACAGCAACCTCTAACTCCTGGGCTTAGGTGATTCTTGTGCCTCAGCCTCCCAAGTAGCTGGGACTACAGGTGCCTGCCACAATGCCCAGCTATTTTTGGGGGGGGATGGGGCTGTGTTTGAACCCGTTACCTCCGGCATATGGGACCAGCACCCTACCCTTTTGAGCCACAGGCGCTGCCCCTACTTTAAAGTTTCCTACCTTTATGTTTTTGTTTTTAGTCACATAAACTTTATCTGAATTTAATAAATGCATGTTTTAGTGATACAGATATTATAGAAATATCAATCCGAAAAAAAATACTGAGAATGCCAAAATCTAGAATTCAAAAAATATTATTAACTTCATATATTTTAACTTCTGCTTTCAAACAGTTGGATTTATTTTTAATTAATTAATTAATTAATTTCTTGAGACAGAGTCTCACTGTGCTACCCCAAGCTAAAATGTCATGGCATTATAGCTCACAGCAACCTCAAACTCCTAGGCTCAGGTAATCCTTTTGCCTTGGCCTCCCCTGTGGCTGAGGCTACAGGCATCCATCACAATACCTGGCTTAGTTTTTCTCTTTTTTTTTTTTGAGACAGAGCCTCAAGCTGTCCCCCTGGGTAGAGTGCTGTGGCATCACAGCTCACAACCACCTCCAACTCCTGGGCTCAAGCGAGTCTCCTGCCTCAGCCTCCCAAGTAGCTGGGACTACAGGCGCCCACCACAACGCCCGGCCATTTTTTGGTTGCAGCCATCATTGTTGTTTGGCGAGCCCAGGCTGGGGATTCGAACCCGCCACCTTAGGTGCATGTGGCTGGCGCCTTAACCGATTGAGCCACAGGCGCCGAGCCTAGTTTTTCTCTTTTTAGTAGAAACATGGTCTTACTCTTGCTCTGGTGGGTCTTGAACTCCTGAGCTCAAGCAATCCACCGCCTTGGCCTTCCAGAATTCTAGGATACAGGCATGAACTACCATGCCCAGCCTGGATTTATTTTTGGACAGATGGGTTTTAATGTATCAAAAAATGCATGAAGAGGAACAATATATATGAGATCATAAGATCCTGAGGAGTGACTAAAAATAAACTAAGCAAGAAGAAATATAAATAAAAAATTTAATTTGGAAAAAAATCCCTTAAATAAAAATTTCAAAAATACTAAAAAGAGAAGCATTAGAACTAATTGACTTGGGGCGGTGCTTGTGGCTCAGAGGAGTAAGGCACCAGCCCCATATGCCAGAGGTGGTGGGTTCAAACCCAGCACTGGCCAAAAACTGAAAAAAGAAAAAAAAAAAAGAACTAATTGACTTTGTATAAACTGGGTTTGACTAATTTTTGAGTACTGTAATGTCTATGATAGTATCTTTACTTTGATTATGATACACATATATTTGATAGCTATTGTAGTTTAAGTATAGTTCCCTCCTAGCACATTAAGTTTCAGAAGTTTATTTGTATTTTTTTATATGTGCTCTTACATAAAACATCATGTAAGACACTTCAATAAAAGATGATACCAACTTTTCCTATAAATTTCTGACATTTGAATAATACAGGTATGCCTGCAGTATAATCTCTACTTTCCCTCTATTCAACAAATACTTAATGAGTGCCTATTTGCACTATTATTCATCCTTTTCCTTGCTCTTCACCCTACTATTTTATAGATACCTGAACACTGTTGACATTTATGATGGGAGAACTTTATTCATAGAGTATTACTTTATCAGTATATTTTTAGGACTTTGGATGTGTGTTAATCAATATATTTGTAGAAACTTTTTTAAAAGAGATTTACTGACCCAGACCTAGTCTTAACAATTTTCTCCTGGCTTAATGGCATCTTTGCAAGATGAATTAACCCTCTATAGTCCTGCTTTAAGAAGAAAACACCGGCTCGGCGCCTATAGCTCAACCGGCTAAGGCGCCAGCCACGTACACCTAAGGTGGCGGGTTCGAATCCCCAGCCCGGACCTGCCAAACAACAATGATGGCTGCAACCAAAAAATAGCCGGGCGTTGTGGCGGGCGCCTGTGGTCCCAGCTACTTGGGAGGCAGAGGCAGGAGACTCGCTTGAGCCCAGGAGTTGGAGGTTGCTATGAGCTGTAATGCCACGGCACTCTACCCAGGGGGACAGCTTGAGGCTCTGTCTCAAAAAAAAAAAAAAAAAGAAGAAAACACCTTTTTCATCTCACTACAGCAAATATTCTTCTGGTACTTGGTAGGCCCTCACTAATTTTTTTTTTAATTAATATGAGGGTACAAATGTTTAGGTTACTTTGTTTTCAGTTCCAAAGTAGAGTTCAGTTTTGTAGTTGAGCCCTTCACCCAGGGAGCCAGACACTCTCACATTGTGCACATTAGGTGAGATTTCCCCCAAACGCCCTCCCTCCTCTTTCCCCCTTTCTCCCTCCTCTCCCCTCTCCCTTGCTAGACTATATTTGCCTCACTAAATTTTTAAATGATTGATAAATACCATTTCAACAGACTCTAAATGTTAATGGACTGCCTAAAATACGCTTCTTACTTCTCTGTTTAACTTGGTGAATTTGTGTTTGGTTATTGATGAATTAGTTTGTGTGAGTCTTTGAAGATTAAAACTTCGAAATTCCTGCTAACCAGTTTATCCACTGTGGATCTAGTTTAGTGTATTTTTCTGTCAGATCAGTAAATCTCCTTTTCCAAGGGAGGCAAAATCATGTGTGGAATTATTATGGAAGGAATTTAAGTGCATTTTGTCTTTTTATGATTACACTAAAACTTTCCTGTCTTATTTTTTTAGGAAATATTCTGTTGTACGTAAGGATGGCTCTTTCCATTATCTCCACAGTACTCCTTTTGGCAACTATTCTTTCATCTGTGTGGATGCCACCTTGAATCCAGGGCCTAAGAGACCATATAATTTCTTTGGAATGTTAGATAAGGTACAGTAAAAATCTTACTTCCTTTCACAGCTTACTTATTTGTTTTTTCTCAATGCATGCGGATCACTTAAAGTTGTCCTTTGTAAACAAGTTCTTATCTAGAAATGTTCTAGAAAATTTTTCCTTAGTTACAGGTGTGACTAGAAATTACTGTCTACTTTAGCACTATTATTGCTATTCCTATTCTTGACCTAAAATCTGAGAAAGAAGTAGCTCCCACTTGATATTCATTCAGTAAACATTTAATAAGTGTATTCTCAGTACACAAACTTTGCAAGGTGTAGAGCATATAGCTTTGTACACTATATGGTATATTCCCAAATGCCCCAAATTCTCAGTTATAACTAGTGGTCTATTTTGGCAAAGGTTGCAGGGGGAGACAAAGTGAGAGTGCCAAGGCATCAGCCTAGTTCTTAGCAAACTCAAAAGACTTGGTACATAGGAAACAAAATATAACAAAAATGTCTAACATAACAGTGCATTTGACAGCATTCTGTTGATGTGATTTCCACCTCTTTTGAACTGTCATGTAACTCTGAACCTCTTAGTTCTAACTTAGCAAATCCTACTCTTGTTTATAGTTATCCCATATTGCTCTTATATCCCACCACTAGATTAAATACTTGAAGAGGCCAGGAACTTGATCTTATCACTTTTACATTCTTTCATACAGGCACAAATATCTTGCTCAGGGCTTGTGCTCATTAGTGAGTTGGCATGTGTTAAAACAAAAAATAATAAGAGGTTCTCAGATGTGACTTTCTAAACAGTTGTTTTTAATTAAATTATAGCTATGTACATTAATACAATTATGAGATACAATGTGCTGGGGTTTTTTTGTTTTTTTTTTTTTAAGAGACAGAGTCTCACTTTATTGACCTTGGTAGAGTGTCGTGGTATCACAACTCAAAGCAACCTCCAGGTCTTGGGCGTAGGCGATTCTCCTGCCTCAGTCTCCCGAGCAGCTGGGACAATGTGCTGGTTTTATATACAATTTGAAATATTTTCATCCAACTGGTTAACATAGCCTTTACTCCATTTTCTTAGCTATTGTGTTAAGACATTTATACTCTACACTTAGTAAATTTAACATGTACTCTTGTAAAATGCACCGTAGTTGTGTTCCCACCAATTACCCTCCCTCCACCCGCCCTCTCCCATCCACTCCCCTCCCTCTCCTCTTTCCCCTTCTTCTTGGGCTATAGTTGGGTTATAGCTTTCATATGAAAGCTATAAATTGGTTTCATAGTAGTGCTGAGTACATTGGATACTTTTTCTTCCATTCTTGAGATACTTAAGAAACTTAACCCCTTCCATAGTAGCCCTTTTCTTATTAAAAAACAAAAACAAAAACAAAAAAAACAGAATGAGTGAGCACCATGGCTAAAGCCTATAATCCTAGCACTCTGGGAGGCCAACTGGGCAGATTGCTTGAGCTCAGGAGTTCAAGACCAGATAAAATATTAAAATTAGCTGGGCATTATGGCAGGTACCCGTAGACCCAGTTATTCTGGAGTAGTGGTTCTCAACCGTCCTAATGCTGTGACCCTTTAATACAGTTCCTCATGTTGTAGTGACCCCCAACCATAAAATTATTTTCGTTGCTACTTTATAACTGTAATTTTGCTACTGTTATAAATCGTAATGTAAATATTTGATATGCAGGATGTATTTAGGTGACCCCTGTGACAGGGTCGTTCAATCCCCCAAAGGGGTTGCAACCCACATGTTGAAAACTGCTGCTCTGGAGGATGAGGGAGGCAGATCCCTTGTACCAAGTCTTTAGTCCAAGTTGATTAACTTATATTAAATCCTATTCCTTAGAATAGTGATTTTTTTTCTGCAGTTTTTGGCCGGGGTCAGGTTTGAACTTGCCACCTCCAGTATATGAGGCCGGTGCCCTACTCCTTGAACCACAGGCGCTGCCCTAGAATAGTGATTTTTAATGTAGGATTCAAGGATCATATGCATGAAAATCAGTGGGGATGTAATAAATTCCCTGGCCTTACCCCAAACTTACCAAATTAGAAAGTCTGAGGGTAGGATCCATATATTTATTACTATTAGCACTTTATAGATAATATAATTAATTAATAATTAATGCATATTGACATGTGCAAGTTATTTTTCAAAAATCAACTTTATGAGGTATGATTTACATATAATAAAAATGCTCATTTTAAATGTTTGAAGAATTTTGACAAATGCATATATCAGCATAACTCACCACAATCAAGACATAGAACATTTCCATCACCCTGCAAGTGTCTTCACCTCCTAGGAAACAACTGGTCAATTTTCTATAACTGTAGATTAGTGTTCTGATATTTTGTATAAATGAGATCATGCAGTAGGTACTCTTGGGCCTGGCTTCTTTTGCTCAGTATAATGTTTCTGAACTTTACCCACATGATGCTGAGTAGTATTCCATTGTACGGATGTACTGTAATTTGTTTAAGTTTTCTAGATTTTCGGCTATTATGAGTAGAGCTGTTATGAACATTTAGACACAAGTCTTTCTGTGATGCTATTTTAGTTTTGTTTTAATGTTCTCTTTGTTAGTTGCAAAGTTGAAAAGATTAGTGGCAACTTCATTATTTCTTAATTTCCTTGCCCTGCTTATTACAGTGTCAGTTTTAGGATCAAGTGTTTTGTATGTGAAAACAGTTTGAAACTTACAGAGGTTGTGCAGGTCATTGACTCGTAGGTTTTTTTTGTTTTGTTTTGTTTTGTTTTTGAGACAGAGCCTCAAGCTGTCCCCCTGGGTAGAGTGCCGTGGCATCACAGCTCACAGCAACCTCCAACTCCTGGGCTCAAGCGAGTCTCCTGCCTCTGCCTCCCAAGTAGCTGGGACCACAGGTGCCCGCCACAGCGCCCGGCTATTTTTTTGGTTGCAGCCGTCATTGTTGTTTGGCGGGGCCGGGCTGGGGATTTGAACCCGCCACCTTAGGTGTACATGGCTGGTGCCTTAGCCGCTTGAGCCACAGGCACTGAGCCGACTCGTAGGTTTTAAGCTGTAGATACAATATGATTGATATTATAAAACCTTGGGGAGCTTTTTAATCTATTGACATTAGATTAAAGATCCTTCCATTGCAGACGAGAATGGAGGAACTCTTATCACTGGCCAAGGAAAGTAGTCAAAGCAACCATACAATTTGGTTTGGACACTTTACAACATCCACTATGTTTTCTCCATCACCAGGAATCCGGTCAATTATGAGGTAAGACAAACTTCCAAAATCACAATTGTTTCTAGTTCTTTTATGCTGTGGTAACCATCTTGCTTTTCTGAAGAGACATTTTTATTAGTTTGGCCATATGTTATCTTTATTCATGTTTCCGTTTATTTTTCATTGGGTAGTTCGGCTACAGCTTATTTGTGTGGGCACCTCCATACACTTGGTGGACTGATGCCTGTTTTGCACACTCGTCACTTCCAGGGCACTTTGGAACTTGAGGTGGGAGACTGGAAGGATAATAGAAGGTAAGAGAACTACCTCACAAAATAGAACTTATACACATAAGTTTTGCTAAAGAAATGATAGATTTCTTATTTTGCAAAGAAATGATAAGTTTTTGCTAAAGAAATGATAGCTTTCTTATTTTTATCATGGATGATCCCAGTAAAGGAAAAACTTACGATATTTTTGCTTTTTAAAATTAATACATGTAGCTGGCAATCTTTGTCATTTTGCAAAAACCTTATTGCAGCAGTGGTGTTTATCATCACTATGTTACATTGGATTTTCAAGGTATGGCCACTAGAAAATAGTCTCAAACTCTAAGAGTTGTAGGGGAGCTTATTAAAAGTAAAAATTTTCAGGACCTACCTCTAGAAATTTTGGTTGTGTTGGTTAGGGACCAAGAAACTGCATTTTTCAAAAGCCCTCTAGGTGGCTGTAGATCATACTTTGAGAGACACTATTCTAGAAATGTATTTTTCCCCCTGAATTTTATTTCTAGCATACTAGTTATTGCTGTAAGGTGTTAGTGACTTAAGTTCTTCAAATAAATCATAGTTTTATTAAAGTCTCTGTAACAGAAAATAATGTAGCTATGAAAATCACGTAGTATAGGTAGACATACTTTTTTTTGAGAAGTATTTAAGTGAAGTAGTTTATCAAGTATAGAGGGTTATCACCTTGTTTAAGATCTGATTGTTTAACATCATATGTATTTAATTTATTCAAACCTAGTGCTCTCAAGATACTGTGCACTTAGGTATTTGTTGAGCTAATACATCATTTTTTTATTTTTAAAATTATTTTTACTTCCTTTAATTAAAAAATAGCTTTACATCTTGAACGGTACTGCTACGTTTTGGTTGGCTTTTCTAGACTCTGTGTAAGAGTTACACAGAAGCCCATAATTAATTGGTGACTGTAATTACTTTGAGCTAAGACCTGTCTGTTCTGTCTATTCATAGCTATGAGGCCATGGACTAGGCTATAATTGCTTTTTGTCAAATAGGCTTCCTAACCCTTTGATCAGCTGATTTGTTTCTTCTAAATGCTACAGTTACAAGTTGTGATGTTATGAAACTGTATCCTTTCTTTCTGTCCCCACTGGCTTTCTTGTGTTTCACCCTTGGGGTTTTATCTGGAGTTTACTCAAAGGATCTATCTTTTACCAGCCCTTATAAACATTTAAATTGGATTAGTTATAATAGAATAATTTTTGAAAACAGTATACAGTAGAACCTCAGAAAGTTGACCACCCAAGGACTGTAACAAACTGGTCAATGTAAGGAAATAGGGCTACTGTACTGATAAGTACATGTGGTGCATGTCTGATCAATGAAAATTAGGTCATCTTAAGGAGGTGGTCAATGTAGGGAGGCGGTCAACTGTGGAGGTTCTACTGTATTAATAGTACTAGACTAGGCCTTATTGTAGATGCACATAAATCCAGAAATATCACTAATCCAGAAATACCAATGGCTTACCATAACACATGTTGTTTATTCATATAAATCAAGCGAGTCAAAGCAACTCTCTTCCATGGATTGAGTCAGGTATTCACACTTCCTCCATCTTGTAATACCACTGTTTCAACATGTCAATTCCAGGGCAGGGAAGAGAGCACAGAGAACTCACATTCATGCTTAAATACTTTGAACCAGAAGCAAGATACATGTCACTTCTGTTCATAGCCCATTGGCCAGAACTAGTCACATGGCCCCAACCAGGGAGACTGGGATAGTCAGGGGAGAACATAGAGTATTTGGTGACCGTTGTTGTTTTTGGCATAGCCAATGATTTCTTCTTGCATTTCTAAAAGTTAGAAAATATAAAACTTTGATTAATCTTCAATGAATATTTTATACCTTTTGTTGTTACATTTGGAAAATGAGAACAACTTTAATTTATTTGAGATTATAGAAACAATCGTATAGAAGCAGCCCGAAAGATTTCTTTCTGTGTTCATACCAACCATTTTAGTATTTTATGTAGCATTGTTGGTGGGATGAAGAATGTGAGGTATTAGACTTAGGATAAATGTCTTAGGTTCAAAATTGTCTTAAAGTATAAGAATAAAATGAATGACTTCAACATGTATTTATTTAAAAATTAAAGAGTGCATGCTTAGCCAGGCATTGTGGCGAGCCCCTGTAGTCCCAGCTACTTGGGAGGCTGATGCAAGGAGGAGGATCACTTGAGCCTAAGAGTTTGAGATTGCTGTGAGCTATGATGCCATAGCACTCTAACCAGGGTAACAAAGTGAGACTCTGTCTCTAAAAAAAAAAAAGTGCGTGGTATGTACCAGGCATTGTTCTGGGGCAGAACTGAATTTATTGCCTTAATGAGAGCCCAGTTAACACTATAGATGTGAGGGATAAAGTGATAGTGGTAAGGGAAGTAAAACAGAGAAACAATATTATTTACTCTGTATTCAATTTTATCGTGTAAAAAAAAAAGTCCTGGTTTTGTATTTTTACATTTGTTCTGTATATTGCCTTCATGCCCTGTTATAAAGTAAAATGACTAAGTTACCCTATTATCCTCTGGTCTCCAGGTACCGGATCTTTGCTTTTGATCATGACCTCTTTAGCTTTGCAGATTTGATCTTTGGCAAGTGGCCTGTAGTTCTTATCACAAATCCTAAATCTCTCCGCTATAGTTGTGCTAAACATGAACCACTAGAAAGACTTTTTCACTCAACACATATCAGGTATGTAGCAGTTCCTTTGCTTTCAGTTTGACAATGATGGAGAATAAGTCATTGTGATTGCATTCCAATGTGAAAGCTAAGAGATACCCCTTTAGTTTCTCAACAACTTAAACATTATATAAAGATAAATTTCTTACTATTCCATTTTCATTTATTTAAAAAGTATATAATTTTTTTGAGCTGATGAATTTTAAAAACTGTACAGTAACCTGTAATCCCACCATTATTATTTTTATGTATTTCAGTCTTTAAGTTTGCATGTTTTTACATTGCAAATTTATATATCAGATGTTTATAAAATAAATTTACATTATATATCAGAAATATTGTTTTCATTCTGCTGCAAAGCCTTTCAAAAAAGCAAAAGCTGGTTGGGTGAGGTGGCTTATGCTTGTAATCCTAGCACTTTGGGAGCCTGAAGCAGGAGGATCACTTGAGGCCAGCCTGAGCAACACAGCAAGACTCTGTCTCTAAAAAAATTAGAAAAATTAGCTGTGCATGGTGGCATGCACCTGTAGTCTTAACTACTTGGGAGGATGAAGTAAGAGGATCACTTGAGACTAGGCATTTAAAAAATATACTCTATTAAATTTTATGTTGAAAAATAATATAGGCTGGGCATGGCGGCTCATGCCTGTAATCCTAGTACTCTGGAAGGCTGAGGTGGTTATATTGCTTGAGCTCAGGAGTTTGAGACCAGCCTGAGCAAGAGCAAGACCCTCTCTCTATTAAAATAGAAAAATTACCTAGAAAAACTAGCTAAGCATGGTGGTACATGCTTGCAGCGACAGCTATGGGGGAGACTGATTGCTGAAGCCCAAGAGTTTGAGATTGCTGTGAGCTATGGCACCCATGGCACTCTACCAATAGTGACAGAGTGAGACTCTGTCTCAAAATAAAAAAAGTTAGAAAAGAAAAATAATATAATACAACCACTTTTGGAAAACAGGTTAATGAGATTGTAAGTATGTTTTTTCTGTGTCTCTAATAGAACTCTTTTTTTTTTTTTATTGACAGAGGGTCACTGTTGCCAAGGCTAGAGTATAGTGGTACAATATCTCATCATAACAGCCAACTCCCAGGCTCTAGTGATCCTCCCACCTTAGTCACCCAAGTAGCTGGACTATAGGCACATGCCACCATGGCTAATTTAAAAAAATTTTTAGAGATAGGATCTCTCTATATTGCCCAGGCTGGTCTTAAACTCGTAGCCTCAAGCAATCCTTCCACCTTGGTCTCCCAAAGTACTAGGAGTATAGTTGTGAGCCTCTGTACCTGCCCTCTAATACCTAGAACTATTATTAGCATTTCTGAGTGTTCTTTCTCAGGCATTCTCTTTTAAGCATGTTTTGATACAGTTATAATCATAAGGCATGGTCTATTCTAATTTCGAATTATTTTTTACAACACAGAGACTCTACCACAATTTGTCTAGCCATTTTCATATCTTATTGGTGAACTTTAAGGTTTTTTCTTACTTCGAGATGAATATCTGGTGCACATAGATTCGTTCTTAACTTGAATAATTTCTTTAAGAGTTCAAGAAGTGAGATTCTAGGTGAAAGAATTTGAGTTCTTTTATGACTATTGATAAAGATTTCCCCATTACTTTTTTCTTTTTAGAGCTAAAATATTGTTTTAAATTGTGGTAAAATACATATGGGCTAACATGTGCCATTTTAACCATCTTTAAGTGTATAGTTCAGTGACATTACGTTCATCTTAAGTTTACATTGTTGTGCAGCCATTACTACTGTCCATCTTTAGAGCTCTTTTCCTCTTCTAAAGCCAAAATTCTTTTTTTTGAGACAGGGTTTCACTTTGTTGCTCAGACTGGAATGCAGTGGTATGATCACAGCTCCCTGCGACCTTGAAGTCCTGGGCTTAAGTGATCTTCCTACCTTAGTCCTCTAGCTAGGAGTGTAGGCACATGCCACCATCCCTGGCTAATTTTTTTCTTTTCTTTTTTTTTTTTTTTTTACTTTTTGTAGAGATGGGATCTAACTATGTTGCAGAGACTGGTTTTGAACTCCTGATCTCAAGCAGTCCTCTTGCCTCGGCCTGCCAAAATGCTGGAATTATAGGCATGAGCCACAACTCTGGGCCTTAAACTAAATCTTCACCTGTTAAACAATAACTTCCCATTTTCCCCTCCATCCAACCCTTGGCAACCACCATTCTACTTTCTGTCTCTATGAATTTGACTACTCAAGCTACCTCATATAAGTGGAATCATTCAATATTTGTCCTTTTGTGACTGGCTTATTTCTTTTATCTTAAGGACCTCAAGGATCACCTATGTTATAGCAAATGTCAGAATTTTCCTTCTTTGTAAGGCAGAGTAATATTCCATTGTATGTATACATCACATTTTGTTTAGTCACTCATCAATTGATGGATACTCAGGTTGCTTCTACCTTTTGGCTATATTGAATAATGCTTCTATGAACATGGGTGTATCTGTTTGGGCCCCAAATTTCACTTCTTTTGGAAGTAGAATTGCTAGATCATTCTGGCATTCTTTAATTTTTTTTCTTTTTTCTTTGATTGATTGATTGATTTTTATTTCTTTTGTGCAGTTTTTGGCCGGGGCTGGGTTTGAACCCGCCAACTCCAGTATATGGGGCTGGTGCCCTACTCCTTTGAGCCACAGGTGCTGCCCTGTTTTGTTTTGTTTTTTTTGTGGAGACAGGGTCTCACTCTGTTGCCCTGCTAGCGTATGTTGGTGTGTTCATAACACTGCAGTTTCAAACTGCTGGGATCAAGCATTCCTCTTGCCTCAGCCCCCTGAGTGGCGGGGACGACAGGCACATGCCACTATGCCCAGTTAATTTTTCTATTTTTAGTAGAGATAGGGTCTTGCTTTTGCTCAGGTTCGTCTCAAACTCTTGACCTGAAGCGATCATCCTGTCTCAGCCTCCCAGATTGCTAGGATTACAGGTAGGAGCTACTGCACCCAGCCAACCCACCTAATTTTTAAAAAAAGTTTTTATAAAGACAAGGGCTCACTGTGTTGCCCAGGCTGGTCTTGAACTCCTGGCCTCAAGTGATCCTCCTGCCTCAGCGTCCCAAAGTGGTAGGATTATAGGCATGAGTCACTATGCCCAACCTGTTTAGTTTTTTAAGGAGCTGCTTTAAAAATACTGTTTTCCATGGTGGCTGTAACATTATCCACTCAGCTGTGCCCTAAGTATCCAGTTATTTTTAAAAATAGAGATTAATCTATAATATTTCCAAGCAATATGAGTGCCAAATCCACAGCACTCTTATCATTATTAGATACTATACTTTAAAAAGTATTAATTAGAAAGAAATGATACCAAGATATTTATACATATTGTTTCAATTACTAATGAAGTAGGATACACATCTGTCATTCACGTTTTTTGATGGGAACTGTATATCAGGTTTAGACACCATACTCTATGAAAGGGTCTGAAAGCCTAGCTCTGATTGTGACCTTGCTTCTTCTGGGCAGATGCTCTGGGAAACAAATGAGTAGATGGCTTGACATTAGAGTATTAAAATGAGATTTCCACTCTAGATTCATTTCCTAGAAGAAAAGCCAGGACTTCAGGGGTTTTCCCAGAAAGAACTTTGAATCTACCCTAGCTGTATTTCTCAAAAGAAAATTAATTTTTTTTTTTTTTGCTTCTAAAAAGTGAAAGAATAGTACCTAATTTCTTACCAAGTCAGATTTGCTGAATTGTACAACTCCAAAATCCACCATTCAGAAAGAAACCAGATCATATGAATAATAGTCCCTATAGCTGTACAATGTAATGGTTCGGCCTATACTTATATATTTTCAGGTTATAATAGGGTTATTCTCCTTTCTAAAAAAAAAAAAAAAAAAAAAAACCAATAAGAAATACCTAAAAACTGTGTGTTTTATATATGCTCTCATTTTAGAGTCTTGGCCTTTTCCTTATCCTCCATTACTTCTGTCACAGTTAAGATCAATGGAGTTCATTTAGGGCAGGCTATTCATTTGTCTGGTCCTATTTTCATACTGAAGTGGAACCCTAGAAACTACAGCAATGGGACACATAATATAGAAGTAATTGTCCAGGTAAGTTAGTAATTTATATTTGTTATATAAGTTAATAGGCTATAGCCACAATGAACTTTGATTTCTGGCTATTTTAATTAATTGATAAAGGAACTATGTTTAATTAAAAACATTGAATACATGGTATTTATTATATTCTGAAAATAGGCTCTCACGAGTAATTTAACTACTAGGCTAAAAACTAGGCAGAGAAGTGGAGTATGTGATTACTGGCCACAGTCCCTTCTATTTTA